TTTAACTTTGAGTGTCCATGACCTGAATGACTGAGAATCTTCACCAGTTTAATGCTGCTATCATTTCAAAGATGACTAAAAAAAGGTCCAGAGGTCACTAAGGTCAACCAGTACAAGTCTATAGTCCAGTCTACATTTCTATATATTTAATATTATTGAATCAATTCCGACCAAATCCCTGATAAGGAAATTATTGGGAAAGAGTGATTCCACCAACCCCATGTTATAGTGAAGTTTGCCTCTCAGTTTTTTCTCATGCAGGATTAAACCTCTATGTGATCGGGGGACTTCCTTCCCAAACGTTTGCTTTAGAAATCTAAAAAACCCAAAGACAGAACGTCTATCGTTAACCTGCATCTTCCTGCTTCTCTGGTCACTCATGTTTTCATGCATTTCCATTTGTGCCAAACTCTTTGGAAATGTCAAAGCTTGCGATGTACCCTATCTTTATAATCCAGGTTAGGAGTATGCCGATGCATTCACAGTCCAGCTAGATTAAAGCTGGAATTACACATCGAGATGGACGCCACAAGGCAAGGCAGCTTTATTTGTAGAGCACATTTCAGCAACAGGGCAATTCAAAGTGCTTTACATAAAATCAGTAAAAAAAAAATAAATTAATAAAACACAGAAGAAACAGTTAAATATAAAAATAGAATAAAACCCAAGAATAAAAATTACAGTCCAGTATAAAAAAATAAAAAGTAAAGAAATGATCGCCATTTAGAGAAAGGCAACATCAAAAAGAAAGGTCTTCAGCATTGATTTAAAAGAACTGAGAGAAGCAGCAGACCTGCAGGTTTCTGGGAGTTTATTCCAGATGTGAGGACCAACTGAAAGCTGCTTCCCCTGTTTAGTTCTGACCCTAGGAACAGAAAGTAGACCTGTCCCAGATGACCTTAGAGGTCTGGGGGGTCATAGTGTACTAGCAGGTCAGAAATGTATTTAGGCCCTAAACCGTTTAATGATTTATAAACTAGCAGAAGTACTTTGAAATCAATTCTTTGACATTTCTTCTGAAGGCAGAGAGCTCCGCTGGATCTGATCAAAGTCTGTTTCTATAGAGTTAAATTCATCTATAAACTGTTCACATCTCATCTGCAGAACATTTTGTTCGACCATTAAACTGAACTGAAAAAGCTCAAAGGTATGAACTTTTTTACCAGTCTAAATCTTAATCATTAATCCACATATATGTATGTAAGGATATCCTCCCTGCAGCTCCACAGAATGATGCTGCCAACACCATGCTGTATTACTGGCATGGTGGTATTTCAGTTATTTCCAAATCATTTTTCTAGTGTTTATTGTTGTTGTACAAATAGATGAAGAACAACAATAAAAACTCTGAAGCTCAGAGAATAAAAAATGCTGAACTGGAACAAAGGAAATGGAGCATTTGTTGGAATAGGTATACACTAACAAACGCAGTTTATTTTATTTTGTAAGTCCCTTTTTTTCCAATGAAGTTATGTAGGATATATTCGCTGAGATATACATCTACACTGCAAAAACGATCTAGAAATAAGTTTATTTACCCTTAATTTCAGTGGATAAATAAGATGATCTGCCAATTAAATGAGTATTTTTACTCTTAGATTAAGATCATTAGTAAATATGCACTTGAAATAAGAGACTGCAGTTGTTTGTTCTTATTTTAAATTTAAATTGTCTTGTTTTATTGGCAAAATGTCTCACTAACCTCCACAATTCAAGACCAGAAAAAATGACTTATGAAGATCTTATATTTTTTGCAGTGTTTGGGTAGAAATGAGGTCCAGATAGTGTCAGAGGAAGTCTCCATTTGTGGGGCGGGACTTTGTATCTGCAGAGTGGGCGGAGCCTTCTGAACCTGATGTCAGTCAGTCAGTAGGAAACAAAGTAGGGCATTCCTCTGACATGCCCCAACAGCGCCGATGAGTGGGAGGAAGTGGCTTTCTCCAGAAATGCCATTATTGCTTGGCTGCTAAGGAGATCTGTTCAAACTGGTTTTCTGCTCTGAGCTCAGAGGGCGGGGATGAAATCACACCAACAAGGCGGCTGCCCTAAAACTCATTAACTGACTCTCCTTCACTGGGAGGATTTCAAAGGTGCACCTTCGCTTTTATAGTCTTTGCATTTAAAATATTAAAAAGAAATGATAAACCTTTGAAAATAACCGGTTTGGAATTTCACAGGATCATAAAACATTATCATTGAAATGTTTTACGGCAGGATAAATATGTCAGTAAAGATATATTTTAACTAATTTATAGAGCTAAAGGTCTCAAGCAAAGAAAAGTCTTCAGGTCTTTGGTCAAAGGAAAACAAAAGAGCTTTTTCTGAAAGGAATGTGAGTTTAATGGACCTACATTCCCACTTAAAAACATGCAGTATTTGGTTTTATGCCGTAAATTTCCTCTTGCTGTTTAGTCTCCATTGTTTTTATGTTACCTCTGGGTCGATCTGCGTGCCTGCATCTGTTTGTTCCTTTTAGGAATAATATCAGATTTTTCTGTTAGAAAACAGCTGACAGCTCCCATGTCAGAGGATGAAGAGAGCACATCCAGTTAGTCAC